ACTTCAATTTGTACGTGTATTAAATAAGTATATTTTGGGCACCTACTATGTGCCTGACACTTTGGTAGTATCTGAGAGATGAATAAAACAAGATCCTTACTCTCCAGGGACTCAAAATCCATTAAACATACAAATTACAATAAATCACGGTATGCACAGCAACAAAGGTGTGTTTAAGGTATTGAGGAGGCTACTACAGATATAGAAGAGAAAGTTGGGGAGGAATCTCTTGATTTCCTGCTTCTTCCAAACAACCTGTTCTCCCTGGGTGTTCCCAGTTGGTGAAGCCAAAAATCTAGGCATCGGCCATGAATCGGCCCTTTCCTTAATCTCCCACATTCAATCCACCAGCTGGTCCAGCCAAACCTTTCCCTAAGCTGTATTTTAAACCTGCCAAGACTTCTGTCTCCCCACTGTTACCCCTCAAATTCCAGCTCCCATCATATCTCCTCTGGTCCTCTTCAATAACCAATTTCCTTTGTCTCCCTGCTTCCATTTTTGCCACCCTACAATGCATTCTCCACACAGCCGTAAATATGATGTGTAAACATATAAATCAAATTATGTCATTCTACTGCCTAAAGTCCTTCAGTGGCTTCCCGTTACATTTAAAATTTTACCCAACATTGGACTTTGACCTACAAGGTCCAGCATGATTTATCCCAAGCCTTCTTTTCCTTCTTCATCTCCTTCCCTTTTCTGCTCAGTTCCACTTTATAATAGTGATGAAATATACAAATAGCGCACCATCGTAGTTGCTACAAGTTATATTAATGCGGCTGTGTACATCAACCCTCTTTCTGTTTTTAAATATGTCTAGCTTGCTCTCACCTCAAACTTTCTGAATGAAACTCTTTTCCCCCAGATATGCCCATGGATGGCTTCTTCTTTACTTGCAGATCTTAACCCAGAAGTCATGTCCTCACTCTCTATCAACTCACTCTTTTTAATTCTTCACAACACTTTCCTATATCTGAAATTATCTTGGTATATCATTTCTTTATCTTTCCTTCCCAATCCCTCCTTACCTTTGCCCTCTACACACACACTCAAATGTGAGCTTCACAAGATCAAGGGCCTTTTAGCACTAGATAAGCACTTAGCATTAGATATTCGTGGAATGAATGATTTCATAAGCAAGATGATATTAGAACTAGGTAAACTCTTATTAGATCAAGAGGGTGGAGTGTGGATTTAAAACTATAAGCTATTGTTTGTTCCCAAATTGCCTCGTGAGAGAGAAATGTAAACGTAAGGAACTGGCAATATCATGGCTCACATTCCAATTGGGAATAACTTCCTGATAAGCAGGCATAGTATGGATTGAAATAAGCTTCGCTCTGTGCAGCCAGACAGACTAAGACAGAGTACCCTTGGAACATGTTTTCATTTTTAAAAAATTTGGGGTGTCAGAACTGGGGTCTACACTCAGAAGTTAACACATGGTTTATATCTTTCCAATTATACTGTCACTCTCTGGTATTTTTAAAGGTGAAATTGCAATTTAAAATTTAAATACTTTTATGGGGTTTTTGTATGTGTGCATGATTGAGAAGAGAGGTCATGAGAATTTATTGGCAAATCTGGCATATACCGAACATACTCAGTGACAAAATCACAAATCATTTGCAAGAGTCTTGGAAATAAAAGCTCATTTAATTATCTGTCACGAAAGCTTTTAACGTAGGGAGACTTGAGCTAACAGTGACAAGAATCTGCAAAAAACCCCACCACCTTTATTACATTTTCAGGGGGCCATTCCTGTTCTTAATTGAATCTTTCAAGTTTTTATTATGATTTATGGAGCTATTGGAAATAAATCAGCTTCTGTCTTCTCATTGTCTTTATGGGGAGTTTACCCATTTCCCAGGAATCGTGAGAATTTGTCAGGTAATTATGGAATCTGGCCTCTTCGAAGTCCAAAGTGGTGACCTCTCTAGAAACCACAAAATTAGAATGTGGATGACTTTATGAAGAGATTTTTTTTCTTCCAATTAGCGTTTATATTTTCCCAAGAAATTTATATAACCATAATAAATGTCTGATAATGGCATAGACATTCTTATTATCTGAAGTCTAATTATTCTATTTTCTTTTTTCTAGTAGATAACTAGCTATTGCTAACATTTTTGGCTTCTGGGAGCTTGGGTTTGTCTCTGCATCCCCTCCATCCACAGAGCTCATCTGGTTTCAGAGCTATACAATCACTTCTGTCCCAATGACATCCTGATTTCCAGGCTGGACTTCTTACCCAAGCACCAGGCTTTAAATGATCCCAGGATATTTTCATGCAAAAGCTCAACCACTGTATAAAATTCGACAAACCCAACTTAACCAAGGCTACTCTGCCATACACTTGTGTCTATCTTTCACTCCCTCATCCCCCACACTCCGTCTCCTATATTCCCTTCCATCATTTCCTCATCCCTTCTGTTCAGACTGTAGCACAGTCTTATATATTATCTCTTAGATTCGTTTCTTCTAGTCCCATTGGGTACACACTTGTACAGACATCATCACACCTAAATCAAGTCATTAATGCCCCCATCTGTCTCCCTGCCTCTTATTCCTTTGCCCTTCAAATCCAGATACATTTTCAGAAATAGTATTAGCAGCATAAAAATGATAGAAAAGGGGCTTCCCCGGTGGCGCAGTGGTTGAGAGTCCGCCTGCTGTTGCAGGGGACACGGGTTCGTGCCCTGGTCCAAGAATATCCCACATGCCGCGGAGCGGCTGGGCCCGTGAGCCATGGCCGCTGAGCCTGGGCGTCCGGAGCCTGTGCTCCACAACGGGAGAGGCCACAACAGTGAGGCCTGCGTACCGCAAAAAAAAAAAAAAAAAAAAAGATAGAAAAGGATCTAAGAACTCTTCACTTACCACAAAAAGGAGAGCTTTGCATTACCTGTCAAGACAATTTTTAACAACACATCTTAGCTCTTAAGGCCCCACCTTCCCTTATTTTTGGTAAGCTTGCAGTCTAGACAATCACATCTCTTTGCTGTCCTCTCCCCGACCTTTTCAGATGATCCTGTGTCATTTTTCACCTTGGATGATCTCCTCTTTTCCAATCACTTTTCCAAGTTTACTTTTCCTTCAAGTCACTTTTCAAACCTCATCTTTTCAAGGAAGTCTTCCCTGGACACTAAACTCTATATTCATTTCTTTTTTGACCGTATATTCTCATGTGTTGCTTTGTGTGCCTGGATCTTGTCTCCCTCATAAGAACGTGAATTCTGCAAGGCAAGTATGTTATGTTCTGCAACCTCTGCATCTTCCACAGTGCTAAACATTTTTTTAAATGTTAGTAAACACAGCAACAAAGAATCAGTCTAGTATATAAGCTCCATGAGGGCTGGGGTCATGCCTATTCTGTTCCCAGCTATGTATCCTGTAGGTAACACAATGCCTGGCCCATAACAGGTGTCCAATATATATCTTGTGATTCAGAGAATGAATGAATAAGAGCTGAGAGAGACTCGCAAGTTACAGTGAAAACCCTCCTATGTCAGTTTTTATAGTGCTCATTTAACAAGTAAGGGTAATTAAGAGAAAGAAATACCTAGGGTAGAATCTCAGATCCAGTGCTGCCTATCCATGAGTTAAAATAGAAACCACAGCATACATATGTTTAAAAAAACTAGTGTAGGAGGATGACTCATGACAGAATCCAGTCACCTCAAAAAGCTCAAAAGCTTCGAGATTTCTGTTACCTTTGGTCTGGCATGGAGGACAAAGTATCACAGAGCAAGACTGTACAGTTGCTTCAGGCAGGCGGAAAGCAAGGGGGAGGGGAACTAGTTCCCACCATCAGGAAGCAGGCAGATCTGCCCACAGAGCGATCACTGCAATATGTTCTTAACAAAGATGATATTTTAGTTCTCTTCTTCTCAATCTTAGGGTTAGGTCCCCATGTTAGGAGCTGTCAGTTCACACTATGTTCTACTCTAGCATTTATTACAACTATAATAAAATAATTTTTTGTTTGCCATGTTTCTTTAATATCTGTTACTCCTGCAAAGTGCAAGCTTCAGGAAGCCTTCTTGTGTCCCACATGCCTGGAATAGAGCCTGCAGCATAGTAGGTGCTCAATATAGGTTTGTTGAATGAATGAGGAATTCTAGGTCTATACTCAAACGCATGCACACGTGTGTGTTTGTGTGTGTGTGTGTGTGTACACCCATGCATGTGAGAGACAGACAGACAGATATTAAAGTTCTGGATAGACCTGAAGACTATAGGACAGTCTCAGAGAAAAACACTGAAACCCATAAAGGGAATGGAAAATACGTGCTAAGAGAAGAAAAGGTCACAGTTGATGTGAAATTTAGAGATAAGAATGTTATAGAATGAGGCAGCTCTGTGACATGAGAAGTGCCTATTCTTGGCTGTCTTATTTCATTTGTACCTATAAAATGTGGATAATAGCCATTTTCCCTTACATTAGGGTTAATTGGGGTTGTGTATGTGAGGCATTGAACTCAGTCCCTGGTTTCTACACAAGATGCTACTCACCCTCTTGACAATTTTCTCTGAATTCACGAACTCGTAGGCTATTCTTTAAGAGAATATGATGAAACAAACCTGAGAAAACAAAAAAGCGGGAAATACAAAACACAGTGTAGCAGATCCGATTGTACATGTTCAAAAATCATTCAAACCCTTGCAAAAAGGAACTAGAATATGTTTCCTCTGATGTCATCCCATCCTAAATACTATGTCTATGTGTACCTATATGTCTGTATCTCTCTTTCCATTCATATCTCAGACTGCATTTGTCCATATTTGTTCATGTATTTTAATTAGTGGTAGACTTTTTAGCAACTGATATGTAAATATGTAAAAATCAACATTTTGTAAACAAAAAGTTGAAATCTCCTTCTCTTCCTCTTCATCCTTGCTTGTTTTTTGTTTTGTTTTGTTTTTGAAGTGACCAGATATCAAAACATTTCTTCCTGTAACTTTGGAATATCTTACACAGTTCTGATGAACTTAAAATTTTGTTTTAGGTACAAAGGGCCACAATGAAGTTTTTAAAGTAAGTGCCAAGGTAAGTTCTGCTGACGTCGACATCTGACGAGTGCTGGGCATTTTCCTTTATTCACAGGCTGAGCAACATTAATCTTTGTAAAGACATTCCTCCATGACTCAAGTGCCCAGAGTGATGGTGTGAAACACTGGTGCACTGTTGACCAGCCATCTTCCAACAGGAAGCAAACCAAATCTTGGGCTGAGGTCTTTTCCTGAAGTGTATAGTCAGGGACTTGAGATCTCCCTCTTAAAATTAAAATCGTTGAATAAATGTTGGGATTAAAAAAAAAAATCTCGGTGGTAAAATTGACTGCATCAGTTCAAAGCCCTTTTCAACCAAGGGCCCTAATGAAGCTCCACTATAAAGAACAATGGTTAGAGGTAAATTTTAGGATAGGGGTGAAATGTGAGCAAAACTTTCAAAATAAGAATACTTCCCTCCTAAGAGATTCTGTTAGATTTTGTCATTTAACAGTAAGGTAACTCTTAATATTTATTGGACATTTAACATGTGTCAGGAATTTTGCATGTTAAATCTTTGCAGCAACTTTGTGAAGTAAATCTTATCTTTCTTACTCGTCTCTTACAGATGAGCAGACTGGAGCACTGAGAGGTCAAGAAACATGCTCGTGCTGTGCGGCCAGTAAGTAGCTGAGTCAGGGTTTAAGTCCAGGCAAATGGATTCCTCAGGCCACGAGCTATGCTGTGTGCCATTGCAACTCACGTTGGTAGCAATCAGAATCTGTCCTTAGGACGGGGGCTACCAGTGGACTGATTATATATGATTGGGAGATTTTTTAAAAATTTTTAAATATTTTATTTGTTTTTATTTTTTTCTTCTAGTTTTATCAAGATATAATTGACATACAGCACTGTATAAGGTGTACATATGACCCAGCAATTCCACTCCTGGGTATTTATCGGAAGGAAATGAAAACACTAATTGAAAAGATATATGTACCCCTATGTTCATAGCAGCATGATTTACAATCTTATTTACAATAGCCAAGATATGGAAATGACCTAGTTGTCTATCAACAGATGAATGGATAAAGAAGATGTGTTATTTATATATATATATATATATATATGTATATATAATACACACACAATGGAATACTACTCAGCCTTAAAAAATAATGCAATCTTGCCATTTGTGACAACATGAATACACCAAGAGGGTATTATGTTTAGTGAAGTAAGTCAGGCAGAGAAAGAAATACTGTGTGATTCACTTATATGTGGAATCTAAAAAAACAAAACAAACAAACATAACAAAAAAGAAACAGAATTATAGATACAGAGAAAAAACAGGTGGTTGCCGGAGGGGAAGGAGGTGGGGGGAGGAGAGAAATAGGTGAGGGAAATTAAGAGGTACAAACTTCCAGTTGCAAAATAAATGAGTCATGGGTATGAAATGTACAGGGAATATTCAATGGGGAATATAACAATGATTATGTAATATCTTTGTATGGTGACAGATGGCAACTAGATTTATAGTGGTGATCATTTTGAAATGTGCAGACATATTGAATCACCATGTTGTTAACAGGAGCTAACACAGTGTTGTAGGTCGATTGTGTGATTTCTGATCCATACAGAAGACTGATATGTCTTTATTATGTCTTTATTTACTTCTGATGGAAAAGAGGTATGTGTCTTCTACTGAAGAATGAAGAACTTCAACCTCAGTAAAGGCTTTGATACCTGATGTGGCCTGTGTGATAATTTACTTTATTTGCAGTTTACCTGTCACTGACCTACAAAGATAGCATCTGGCTCTGCTTACAGAAAAGCAGGAACTCATGACTAACTGCCTTTGACTGTGCTTTTCCCAAAGCCATCTGCATCTGCTGTGCTTTGCAACTGAAATTTCCAAAAAGCAGCCCCTCCTGACATGAAAATTAGGTTTCATACAAACAGAAGTTCCACATCAAAAAGGAAAATGAGTAGAGGGTGTAATAATTTAGTGCTAGATATTCAAAGAAGCAGGCCCAAATAGTACATGGGCTGAAACTGTTTAGAGATTAAACGTACCTAAAACAAACAGTATTTTAACAGGCGAAATTATTTTCCTTTTCCCTGAACATTTGACATTACTGACCACCCTGTCAGAGTGTGTTTGAACGTGTGGGAGGGACCTAACAGAAATCAGCAAAACCTTCCTGAAGGATTTTTGAAGGAAGAGGACTTGTCAAGGCCAGAATATGGGAAGGGTGATGCATTTTAGGCAGAGGGAGAATGTGAACAAAAAGATAGATGTGGGAATAAAGAAGTTTCCGGAGGCTGGGACGCCAAGTGTGAGACGTGGAGTAGCTGGCCAGGTAGTTCAGAGGCAGCTCTGGAAACACTTTTGCATTATGCAAAGAAGTCTAATTTTATTCTACAGGCAAAAGGAAGCCATGAAATGATGTGAAGCAGAGGAGTAACATGATTAGTTTCAGATTTTAGAAAGCTCACTGGAAGTATGGTGGCCACTGTATTGGAAAGAAGCAAGAATGGAACAAGAGAGGACTAGTCATGAGGCTACTGGAATAATCCTTGTAAGAGAGGATGATGGCTTGAACTGAGGCAGTAGCAGTGATTTGGGACAAGGGGGTGGATGTAAGAGGTCCACCTTAGGTGTTTGAGTCTATAAATATGGTGCCTGATTGTATTGGGTTGGCCAAGAATTTCATTCGGGTTTTCTGTAAGCTGTTATGGAAAAACCTGAATGAAATTTTTGGCCAACTCAATATGTGGAAGTAGAGGAGCCGAGGATGACTATTATGTTTCTGACTTGGGTACCGGAAGATGGAAGAGACTTGCATCTGTTTGTCTGCTAAGAGCAAAGAACCAGTGGTGGTGAAAATGTTGGATAGATGGGACAGAGGAAGGCTGTTTGATGTCCGTCTTGGAGAAGCAAGAGGACCCGGGATGCCAGTGGAAGGAGAAACCCCTTCCACTGAGGTGGGAGATCAGAAGGTAAAGAGGAAAGAGGATGCAGGTAAGTCCGTGCTGGCATAGTGGATGGGGTAGCAGTGCTTAGAAGGCTGAGAGACTTTTGAACTTTCTCTAAGAGGTAATAGACAAGATTTTTGAACCAAGGTGTTAGATAAGAAACTCGGGGAGAGTGAAGGTTTGAACTGTTGGCACAAGAGAAAGGAAAGTAGCCTAGGAAGAGACAGACGGCGGCTGGGTAGGTTAGTGGCTTTGAAAGGGCTGAAGGAAACCATAAACTGGCAGTGGTACCATTCTGCTCAGTTCGTGATGCATAACGTGACCCTGCATTGTATTATGACTTATTATCATTAGGGCCACAGGGATGACAGGGACCATGTTTCATTTAACCTGAAGACTCTTCAGTGTTCAAACAGAGCATGACCCATATTAAATGCTCAATATACTTTTGTTGACTTGAAATTTGTGGAGCTATGGAGCAGTAGACATGAAATACTATTAGAAAACTGAACTTTTTTTTCCAAGTGCGTTAAATGGCAGTACCTTGGAGAACACTGAAAGTAGAAGAGTCAATATTTTAGGATGGTTCTCCAACGAGTGACGGCTCTTTGTGTGAACAGGTGTATCTGAAAAGACCAATTTGCTGCCACTAGTCACTTTCCTGCTGCAGACTCTGGGTTTAGTGATTTAAGGTGAGGCACAACACCTGGCATTGTTTACAGCACTCTTTCTTCACAGTGACAATCTCAAAGAGTCTGTGCAGGGATTTCAAGGAGAAAAGTGAAGGGAACTGGAAAAACAGGTACAAAAGGATAATGAAGAAGAGTGAGCTGAGGCCAACTGCCAAGTGAAAGTTGCTGCCTGACGGTATACACTGTAAGGCAAAGAGCACAGGGTTGGACGTAAAAAAAAAAAAGGAAAACACCTAAGTTCTAGTTTGAACTCAGTCTCTGAGTAATTATATCACCTTTGACCTGTGACCTTTAATCAGTTTTCTGAGACTCAGTGTTTTTGGTTATCCAAGGGGAGTCATACTTTTTGCATCAGACGATTCTTTTAATATACATTTTGTGAACTGCCCAGCATTCTATAAATATGTAGTCAAAGATTACAGATGAGAACGTTGATGCAAAGTGACTTTTACATTGCATGCATGGCATCTCCGTATCTTTGCCTCACTGCCCTACCTTTGCTTCTGCTCACCCCAGTGCAAGTTGTCTCTGTTTCTCTTTCTTCAATCTCTTCAGAATTTTATCTCCAGACAATCCTTACATGGAAGTTGCAACTTCAGTGTTTACTCCCCAAGGTATCCTTTTCAGTATATCCAGTATGATCATTGACACACCATCCTTGCAAACTCTAAACATTTGCAAATATGAAATCATTTGTCAGTGCAACTCAATGAATGCTTATGAGTTGCTATTATGTGCGAAGCCCTGTATTAGGTGCAGAGAATACAGGGATGAGGTACAATAGAGGAGATGATTCTACTGATTCTACTCAGATGCTAAGCGTTCATATTAAAGTACTGGGTTGGCCAAAAAGTGCCTTTGGTTTTTTTAAGGAAAAATAAAAGACACATTTTTTATTTTCACCAGGAACTTTATTGAACAATGTACTCACCTTTTTGTTCCACTGCCTTCTCCCATTTTTCAGGCAACTTCATAATTCCTTCCCAAAACTTTTTATCTTTTTGAGCAAAGAACTGTTCCAGGTTCCTTTTACAGTCTTCCAGGGAATTGAAACTTTTTCCATTAAGAGAATTTTGTAAAGACTGAAATAAGTGGAAATCCGAAGGTGCAATGTCTGGTGAATATGGCGGATGAATCAGAACTTCCCAGCCAAGCTGTAACAGTTTTTGCCTGGTCATCAAAGAAACATGCAGTCTTACGTTATCCTCATGGAAAATTACGCGTTTTCTGTTGACTAATTCTGGATGCTTTTCATTGAATGCTGCTTTCAGTTGGTCTAATCGGGAGCAGTACTTGTTGGAATTAATCGTTTGGTTTTCCAGAAGGAGCTGATAATAGAGGACTCCCTTCCAACCCCACCATATACACAACATCACCTTCTTTGGATGAAGACCGGCCTTTGGTGTGGTTGGTGGTGGTTCATTTCGCTTGCCTCATGATCTCTTCCGTTCCACATTATTGTACAGTATCCACTTTTCATTGCCCATCACAATTTGTTTTAAAAACAGAACTTTTTTTACGTTTAAGTAGAGAATCACATGTGGAATTATGGTCAAGAAGGTTTTTTCACTTAACTTATGTGGAACCCAAACATTAAAGCAATTAACATAACCAAGCTGGTGCAAATGACTTTCATCGCTTGATTTGGATATTTTGAGTATGTTGGCCATCTCCCACGTGGTATAACATTGATTGTTCTCAATGTCTCGATTTGATCGCTATCAGCTTCAACTGGTCTACCCAACCATGGAGCATCGTCCGGTGAGAAATCTCCAGCATGAAACGTTGCAAACCACTTTTGACGTGTTCGATCAGTCACAGCACCTTCTCCATAAATCTTTTTATGTGTTTCAGTTGCATTTTTACCTTTCTTGAAATAATAAAGCATAATATGCTGAAATGTTGCTTTTTTTCTTCCATCTTCAATATTAAAATTCACCAATTTTGATAAGTCTTTTTTTAAATGCATGCTGATATGACAGCTGTCACATACAATCTAACAAAATGGTTTCGAATGAAGTTAAAGACAGCTAAGTGCTTTTAGAGTCATCTTACAGAAAAAAATGAACAAACCTTTTGTCCACACAATGTATTAATAGAAACACAGAAAAGAAGTTGATTAATTTTATCTGAGAAGTTTAGAGAAAGCTTTCTAGAAGCTGTGGTATTTGACCTTGGCCATGAAGAATGAACACAGTCTATATAATTTCACCAGATAGAGAAAGGGGAAAAGACATTTCAGATAGAGAAAACAGCCTGGTTGAAAGTCTAGAGCTAACAAAGGGTGCTGTGTGTTGGGGAGAATGACAAGTGGCCTAGCTGCTCATCCTCCAACAGGAGATTTTTACTACAAGTTAAAAAATCAAATATGGACACAATGGCCTCAGAAATGGTTATTTCCATTGCTTTTGGAGAGTTATGGCTACCAGAGACTTTGGAACTGTGTCGTAGAAGGGTAGCGATAATAACTGTTGAACATATAAGAAGAGCTGTCCCACCAGCAGATGTTAACCTGACTCACTGTGGAGATCATTTCTCAATATATGCAAATATGGAATCATTATGTTGTACATCTGAAACTAATGTTATATGTCAATTATACCTCAATGTTAAAAAAGGAGCAATGCATAAGGCCAGTGAACTAAGTAGTTCCATCTTTTGTGGAAGAGCCCAAAGATGGCTGAAGATTTGCCATGGTTTAGGAAACGACTAAAAAGGAAGAAAGGAGCATGTGAGTTGGTGTTTTACAAACAGACAGACACACGCACATTCCTGATCACTTGAGATGTTCAGATATCTGCAACATGCATGGAAGCCCGCCTCTGTCATCTAAATTCTTCTAAATCTTATGGCAATTGATTGCATAGCTATAGCTTGTTTGTAAGAGTCAGAGGTGAAGCTGGCTTCAATCACAGGCTTTGCTACTTGTTCCATGTGGGAACTTGGCCAAAGTATTTGATATCTACAAATACTATAAATCTCGGTTGGCTCATCTGTCTGAAAAGGTGAGAATAAGAATACTTATTTCACAATTTGACAGTGAGGATTTCCAAGGATGTATGTAAAGCAACTGGCAGAATGCCTCAAATTTGCAATGTGTTCAATGCATGGTGCCCATTATTACTCTTGTCTTAATTCTATTGTCTTTTCTCTACATTTAATAATCATGACAGTTTAATTTGGCGTATTTCACAACCAGATATCAAACTGTATTTTAAAAACTGTTATTCCCACCTAACTGGCCTTGCAAGAGGCAGGACTTCTGAATAGGAATTGATGTGGGTAATAATTTTCTTGTGACCATAAAAAGAAATGAAATTGAGTTATTTTGTAGTGAGGTGGATGGACCTAGAATCTGTCATACAGAGTGAAGTATGTCAAAAAGAGAAAAACAAATACCGTATGCTAACACATATATATATAGAATCTAAAAAAATAAAGGTTCTGAAGAACGCAGGGGCAGGACAGGAATAAAGATGCAGATGTAGAGAATGGACTTACGGACATGGGGAGGGGGAAGGGTAAGTTGGGAAGAAGTGAGAGAATGGCATGGACTTATATATACTACCAAATGTAAAATAACTAGTGGGAAGCAGCTGCATAGCACAGGGAGATCAGCTCGGTGCTTTGTGACCACCTAGAGGGGTGGGATAGGGAGGGTGGGAGGGAGACATAAGAGAGAGGGGATATAGGGATATATGTATACGTATAGCTGATTCACGTTGTTATACAGCAGAAAGTAACACAACAATATAAAGCAATTATACTCCAATAAAGATGTTAAAAAAGTAAGTTAAAAAATAAATAATTTTCTTGTGAGAAGATAGGTGAAGAGTTGTGCTTTACCTGTTTTATAGGTGCCCACACTGAGGCAGAAACCTTGGATGTGCCCCAAGAAATACAGACTGAACTAAAACTATAATTAAATGCCTTTATCTCCAAGCCTGCAGACTCAGTCATTTGCTTCTGCAATCTTGTCCACATGAGTGTATGTCATCAGAGTACTGAAAGGAACACTCTTAAAGCTCTCTGGGCACCAAGCGGCACTGCCATGACTAGCATTTCACAAAGAATGAGTCCCTTAGGAAAATCCAATTTGAGAGGAGCAAAAGTAATAACAAAACAAGGATTGCCATTTAATCATATCAAATCAAAGACATGTATGTCTATATACATATATGCATACATATATATATGGTAATGGTAAAAGGAGAGAGTAATTCATTTTTGCTGTTCTAAAATTGGATTTTTCCCAAAGGTCAAAATAGAGCTCAATTCTTTGGACTTGCGTTAATGATACTGTAGCTAACAGAGAATGCTGGGAGCAAGAGCTGAAGCCATTGCATGTTGAACAGCTTCCCTAAAAGTGATTGTCCCATTTATGCATTTGAAA